ACCACCAAGTTAATTTCGATAAATTTTTTTTTTGAATTTTACTAATCTGTAGAATGCAAATAAAAAAAAATTCATTGAAATTGGCTTGGTAATTGTCAAGATATCTTTGTACAAAGTTTGAAAAAAAGTTTGGTATAGCTTTTGTTTTAATATATGTTTTGAGTTTTTTTTAAAACTTTAAATGAAAATATCTTGACAACTACCAAGCCAATTTCAATGAATTTTTTTTATTTGCATTTTACAGATTTGTAGAATTCATATAAAAAAAATTCATCGAATTTGGCTTGGTGGTTGTCAAGATATCCTTGCTTAAAGTTTGAGAAAATTTTGGCACAGCTTTTGTTTTGATATATGTTTTGGGTTTTTTTAAAACTTTGAGCAAAGATCACAACAACCACCAAGTTAATTTTGATGAATTTTTTTTTATTTGCATTCTACAGATTTGTAGAATTCAAATAAAAAAAATTTCATTGAAATTGGCTAGTGGTTGTCGAGATATCCTTGCTTAAAGTTTGAAAAAATTTTGGTGCAGCTTTTGTTTTGATATATGTTTTGGGTTTTTTTAAAACTTTAAGTGAAGATATCACAACAACCACCAAGTCAATTTTGATGAAGTTTTTTTATTTGCATTCTACAAATTCGTAGAATTTATATAAAAAAAAATACATTGAATTTGGCCTAGTAGTTGCAAAAATATCTTCACTCAAATTTTAAAAAAATTTTGTATAGTTTGTTTTGATAGAGTTTTGATTATTTTCAAACTTTGAGCAATGATATCTTAGCAACTACTGGGCCAAATTCAATAAACTTTTTTTGTTTGAATTCTAAAAACTTATAGAATTCAAAGAAAAAATATTTGTTAAATTTGGCCTAGTAGTTACCAAGATATGGGGGTGAGTCAATAGAAATCAAGCAAATTTTTTATAATAAAATTTTTTTACAACTTTAAACAAGAATAACTTAATGAAACCTTGACCAAATTTAATAAAATTTTTTTTAAATAATTTTTACAAACTTGTAGAATTAATTTAAAAAAAATTTTATTAAATTTGATTAAGTTTTTGTAAGTTATCCTTGTTTAAAGTTTTTAAAAAACTTATTAAAAAAAATTTGCTTGATTTCTATTGACTCAACCCCATATATTTGCTCAAAGTTTAAAAAAAAGATAAATCTGTAAGGGGGTATGGTTAATAAATTAGAGGAGTATAAAAAATAATTTCTTTAATAAATATTAAGTTGAAGTTAATAGTTAAAAGTTAGAGTAAAGTGTAGTATATAGTAAAATTTTATAACAAATTTTTTTTTTTTAAAAAAAAAAGTAGTTTCATAGATAAATTTTTGAGTTAGAAAGTATTTTTTTAAAAAAAATAGCAAAACAACAAAAATTTATATTATATCTGATCTTTATGTTATACTGCATTTAAAAAATTTAATTAGTAAAAATCATTGTGGTGTTGAGCACCAGTAGTGTGATTTAGTAAAGCCATATTTATTTATTTTTAATCTTTATTTAATAAAAGCAATATTATTTATTATCTGATTTTTTTATATTAGAAGCTTATTTCTCTTAGCTTTTAATATATAATTGATCAGATCTTATATATAAAATTTTAATTTTTCGACTCTTTCTAGAAAATAGTATTCTAAATCAAGCTGGCTTAATTAGGCTTGTCAAGATTTGAAGCTGACTTGATTTTGGCTTGAAAAGTTTGTGAGCCAGTAGTACAAATTATATAATACAATTTTTACTATTAATTTATATTATATAATACTTTTTTCTATTTCTGCTATTAATCATTAGAGGGCATCCATAAATAACATTATATGAAAGGGGAAGAGGGTTGTATAAAAATAATATTTTTCTAATATGATAAAGGAAGTCAAAAAAAATAATCAAATTTTTTATAAAAATTTGGCTAAAATTCAATCCAGTGGTCTAAATTAAATTATTTTGGTATCATTTAATTTATCTCAATAAGGTGAATCTAATAGTAATAATTTTATCTAATTTGGATCATTGGATTATGAAATAATCACAAAAGACTATTGGTTATATCTTTTTATGTAAAATTACTATAAATCAATAGTTTTTTGCTAATATCTTTTAATTCAGTAATTCAAATTAAATAAATTTAATATCATTAGATTTGTCTAATCGAGACGAATTGATTGGCACCAAAATTATTCTTATTGGATCACTATGTCACAAGTTAGACAAGTTTTTGTAAAATTTTATATATAAATATATAGATTTGAAAAATGTTTTTTATATAGTCTGGGTAGTTAAAAGCTACTATATGAGTATATATAACATTATTTATAGATACCTTTTTAATAGCAGAAAATATTATATAATATAAATTAATAGTAAAAATTGTATTACATAATTTGTACTACTGGCTTGTAAGATTTTTAAGCCAAAATCGAGCCAATACCAAATTCCAATGAGTCTAATTGAGCTGGCTTAATTCAAAACACTGCTAGAAAATTATCTAATAATTGTTAGCTTCCTAATTATTGTTTTTTTTTTAGAACTAAGAAAATAAAATAAGAATGACAAAAAAAACAGGATGAAAATGGTAGATAAGAACAAGAAAACAGAATGAGATAACAAGAAAACAAAATGAAAATAGTAGATGGACTAAAATTAACTATAAAACAAAGTGACAAAAACAGCAAAAAAAGCAAAAAATGGAAGACAAATATGAAAATTAATTTAAAGATTTGCTAACAAAAAATGACAAAGACACATTAATAAAAACATGAATGCAAATAAAAAATAACTCAACTGAGAACAAAAAAAAATTTTAAAACTTACTAGAAAATCCCACAAATCTACTAATGAAATTACTAAAGAAATTCACAGAAAATAACAAATTTATTGAAAATGATAAAGAAGAATATATTGAAAACTAATAAGAATAACTCATCAAAAAAACAACAAAGAATTTGCTAGAAGAACTACTAAAAAGCCCACTGAGAAGAACCTATTGAAAATCTACAAAAAATGATAAACAAATATGAAGAATTTAACAGAAAAACAACCTACTAAATAATGTTAAATCTACCAATTTAAATATAGCTTTATACTTCTACTACTACTCTAACTACTACTTCAATAATAACTCCAATAAAAAATTAAAACCCTACAAAAAATAAAAAAAACTTAACAAAAAAATAACAACCTACTGAATTGTTAAATTTACTGATCTAAATATAACTTTATGCTTCTACTATAGCTCTAATTTCTCTAATAATGGCTTCAATAATATCTTCAATAATAACTCCAATAAAAGCTTTAGTGATAACTTCAATAATAGCTTCAATGACAGCTTTAGCAATACTTCAAAAAAAAAAAAATTAAATATTAATAATAATAATAAATAAATAAATAATAAAACAAATTAAAAAAATATATTTATATAATCTCCAATTTGTAAAATAATTAGATAATTATATAGAGTCTTAAGTTGCTATTGTCATTTTGTCTAATAAAATTATTAATTTACTATGTAATATAAAGATTAAATATAATATAAAGAGAAAATCTAGATAGTGTACTTATACACTTTGTGCTTTATAACAAAATTGAGTTTGCTAATAAAAATTAATATTAGGTTAGAATATTAAAATTAAGGTTAAATTAAATATTAAAGTTTAAAGTTAGAGTAAAGTAAAATTGTAAAAGGAATATTTTTGTTTAGTTAAAAAGCTGACAATTATCAGGTGATTTTCTAGAAGGGGAAGGAGGTCAAAAAAATTAGAATTTTATATATAAAATCTGATAATTTATATATTAAAAACTAGGGAGATAAGCCTCTGATAAAAAAAAATCAGATAATAAATAACACTGCTCTTACATAATAGAGGTTACCTAGTAAATTTTAGATTTTTAACAATTTCATAATAAAAGAAGTGTCATTTATCATCTGATTTTTTTAGCAGGGGGTGGGTGCCATAATAGATCAATATATATGTTTATATGTAATCATAATCATTTGAGGAAAAGAAAGATTTTACTATTTACAAAAAATTAGATGATAAATAACACTTTCTTAAGAAACACAAAGTGCATGGGGTATTGTCTAGTTCTGTCCCAATATAAAAATCAATTGTTTTAAAAAAATCTTTAATAACTCAAAATTTTGCTTATAAAATTCTAACAAAAAAAAATCTCTTGCAAAATTTTGGTATAAACTATGCTTTTACTCTATTTCAAACTTTAACTCTAACTCTGTTACTAGTCAAATTTATTTTTTTATTTATTTGGTTTTGATAATAATATACTAGTGTTAGCATCACAGATGTGTTTTAGTAAACTTGCATATTATTAAAAAAATTTTTATTTAAATATTTTAAATTCTGATAAACAAATTTATAAACAATTTTTTTAAAATACTATTTATATTTACTAATATATTGCATTACAAAAAATTACAATATTAAACTTTTATTAACATTATTTTCTAAATATATATACTACATTATTAAAAATAAAAAGCATTTTTGTTAAAATAGTTTTATAAATTATTGCAATTTAAAAAATTTTTTTTTTTTGATTGGCTAGATTAATATCACTACCAATAACATCCAAAAATAAATTAACCCAATTTACTAACTAAAAGTCATTGAATCGTAATAAAACACACGTTTATTTAATATATACAGTTTTTAGTTTTTGAATATTTAAAAAGCTTATGAATTCATATTACTGAGTCTAATGTATGCTGATGAATAGAATTTACCAACGTCATAAAATTTCAATACCCACGCAAACCTTTTCGACAATCAAATATATACACACGAATATTCCATTTTCCGGATAATGTGACTGTTCATATGAGTTGAAAAAGTTTTTTTAAATACCCTAAATATGGCGAAAAATCCATGCCATGAAAAGATGAAAAATGAGGATAAAGAACAAGGGTAAGCATAAGGATAAACACTATAGAATTTTTTTTTTCTCAATTTCTTTTTTAAAATTAATAGTTTAAAAGTATTCATGCTGCTGCTGCGCAATATCCAGTCAAATAAACATTTCCACTTGTCTCTTGTCCCAAACATTCTTTCACTAATAATATTTTTAGTCGTTCGCAGCTCCTTCTACAACCAGAGCTGGCTGCTCTTTCCAGCCAATGCGTAGCACCTTCAAGATCAACCTCACAACCAATTCCTTTCTCCAACGCATTAGCCAAGTTGTACATAGCAGTCAGGTGATCCTGTTCAGCGGCTAAGCGGAAATAGTGTAACGCAGTTACTTCATCCTTCTCACATCCAATACCTAGTTGAAGGCATACACCCAATTTGTCTTGTGCACGAGCATGGTCTTGTGCTGCAGCTTCACGGTACCAACTAACTGCCATATATTCGTTCTTTTCTACACCTATGCCATTAGCATAGCAAAATCCCAAATTGCATTGCGCCCATGGATTTTGGGCCTTAGCAGATAGTTCATACCAATAAACCGCCTTAGCTTCATCTTTTTCGACACCAAGTCCTTCTTCATAGCAATATCCTAAGGAGTTTTGCGCTAATGCGTTACCTTGTTGAGCTGCATATGTGAACCATTTAACCGCTTCCTGTTCATTCTTTTCTACACCAATACCGTTTCTGAAACAATAACCAAGACTTAGTTGAGCTGGTGCGTGATTTTCTTCTGCAGATAAAATGTACCAATAAACAGCCTCGATTTCGTTAACTTGAACACCAATACCATTTTGATAGCAATATCCAAGAGAATGATAAGCAAAGATATTTCCATGCTCCGCCGACTTTGTATACCACTTCACAGCTTCAACCTCATCCTTAGATACACCAATACCATTTTGATAGCAAAAGCCAAGGTTGTGTTGCGCACGTGCATGTCCCTGAAGAGCTGCCTTTCGGTACCAGTAAGCACCTTTCTCGTCGTCCTTAGGAACGCCAATGCCATTTTGGTAACAATACCCAAGATTGCATTCTGCCCAGGGATATCCTTGTTCAGCTGATTTTCGGTACCATTTTGCGGCTTCCACGGGGTCTTGCTCGACACCAATTCCGTCTTCATAACAATAACCCAAAGAATTTTGAGCAAAAGCATTCCCTTGTTCAGCCGATAACCGATACCACTTAACAGCTTCTTCTACATCCTTTTCAACACCAATTCCATCTTCATAACAATAACCAACATTATATATTGCAACAGACTCTCCTTGTTCAGCCGCCCTACGATACCATTTCATTGCCTCAACCTCATCTTTCTGGACGCCAAATCCTTCCCCGTAGCAAAAACCTAAGATACCTTGGCCACGTGGATGACCTTGTTCAGCAGATTTCTTGTACCACTTGAAAGCTTCAGACTCACTTTTATCAACACCCACACCGTCATGATAACAAACACCCAACGAATATTGTGCAGCAGCATGATTTTCATTACAAGCCGCATGAAATAACCAAGCAATAGCTGTTTCACCTTGTTCTTTAACTTTTTGTTGCCACATTTCGGCCTCAGCTCGATCAATGCGGACACAAGGCCGGCCATATTTTCTCAAAAATGCAAGTCTGGCTTGAGCCAATCCATTCCCAGACTCTGCAGCTGGGATATAATGTAACTCTGCATGTTTAAAATCTTTTTCAACACCTAATCCAAATTCATAACAAAAGCCCAAAACTCCCAGGGCTTCCGTATGATTTAATTTAGAAGCACGTTGAAAATAATCAAATGCTTTCTTTTCATCTTTTGGTTCTCCAGCTCGTCCAAAAAGACATACCTCGCCCCGTTTATAAAGGTAATCGGGATCATTATCTTGTTGATTACGTTTGTTAACTTTACCACAACTATTATTACTACTACTATTGCCAGAATTATACTTTCTATTTAATCTTAAAACAAACTTCTTTGACCGATGAAAAATGAGTGCAGCGGTATGTGAAAATGGATGAACTGCCATTATTTAAAAGCTAGAATTTCAGTAAATTATATGAAATAGATGCAATACAAAAAATATTGAATTATTTTATGAGATGATTATCTTGATAGAAGGTTTAATGTTATATAATTGCTTCTATGTAAAAATCTATTGATGATCTATGGAAGATCTTTCTAGACACACCTGGCATAAGTGAGGGGAAATTGATCACAGCTCCTGTGATATCTTAATTTATGTTCGTTTCAATGTTTTATTAGAGTGCCGAGATCAATAGAAAGGGAAGTCGCTCGAAAAATGTTTTAGAGCTGTAAAATCCACGCACGAACGTAAAAAAAAAAATTAAAGCTTTAAAGATTATAACAAATTAACAAAATAGTAAAAGTGAATGGATTAACTTGCGGAAACTATTACCTCAATCTTAAAGGCGCTTTCAATGAATCTTAATTTAAGTCTTATTAGGTATATAGTACAGGTATGGTATTTGAGGGAGGTTCCTTATTGCCAGTTTCGGCTCTTAGTAGAAAAGTGAGTGTTTAACGTATCGAAATTGTATTTTTTTTTTTTTTTATTGTTTCTTTTTAAAGATTGAAATTTTGTATGTTATCTATTAAGTTGTCTTTATTTCTATTCACTAGAGATAGTATTATTCTTTAAATTGTATGTCTGCATTTTAGATTACACTAAAAAAGCTGATGTCCGATTTTACGAATCATCAATCTTAAAGTAGTATTACATGTGGTACTGTACTGCGATAATTCTGTAATTGCATTGTTACTCATGGCTACATTATCCCGTTGTAATCCGATAGTTATCAGATCTGGGGAAATAAGAAATTAATACTAAGCCTCTTTTATTACAATCCTTACTCTTATCCAGAATATTTCAGGAATTTACGATACGTATATTAAAATAGAAAATAGAATTATTACAGTATTATATCTTTTTAAACCCAAAATTTTGAACATACAACTAGCGCAGTACCCGCGAGTTATTAATTTATATAAATTAAGCCATGCAAAAAATCTTTTACTGTATATCCCGTATATCGATATGTTTTTTACAGCTGTTATTATAATTTATGAAACACCTCGAATGATTTTTCGGCCGATTCGGTTCTGTGAGATCGGTATATTATAGATGACCCTTCCATTTGGCATAGGGAGGTGACAAAAATCACCTGATTTTTTAGGGAAGTAGGGTAAAAATTAAAATTTAGTAATTTTTTTTTTATCACCATAGCTACTCTCTGCTGTCGGTTATGATTAGTAATATATATTACTAATATAAGTAGAGATGTTTCGGTCCGTCCCGGTCCGGTCTTGGTCCTAAAGACCGGTCCTACCAGAGGACTAGTCCATAAATCAGTCTATTGGCTGGTTTACAAAATAAGCTATGTGGTTTTACAGCTGTTCTCATAAATTTTGGGACATCTGGTAAAAAATTGACCGAATGATTTTAGGCCGATTCGATAAGT